AAAGATCTGTGCACTAGAACATCTAGGCATAAAAAAAACAGTTTTCCCCCATGCCATCTCCAGCCTAAACAGCTAACACAGGAATTATTACCCGTGTTCTGTAATTCATGCCTTTTAATTCATTCGCCATCTCTAATTATTGCCTCTCTCTCTATGTAAATACATATCCATATTTTTTATACAGCTGTATATATAGAGTAAATAATGCACAAATCTGTACATAAATATTCTGTTCCAGATTCATACACATTCACAGAGAGTGGAGAAGAACTGAAAGCAAACGATGACCAAAGACTTGAGATGTTTTTCCGTAAGAAAAATCGGAAAACACTTAAAGAGTATAACCATCAGGAGTATCATTTCAGTGATCTCTTTCTTCCACAATGTTCTGCTGTTTATCACTCGTGCCTTTTTAAGTCTGGTTTGGTTCTTCCTTGATCTGCTCTACCACATCTTCTTGAGTGGATGGATTATTGACATGGCTAAAGAGATGAAACGGTCCGACCTTTTAGGTGATCTTCGGGATCCTACCATGGTTGAGACCATAGGGTTCGGAGAAGGAGCGGTCAGAGAGAATAACACGTGTCATACGCGTTCCTTTTCTTCTCACGGTAATCAGAGGCATAAGTCTGGATCTGTCTGCGGTGTCCAGGGACCCCCAACTCCTCACAGATATGTTTGGCTTGTGTTTGAAGGAAGGAGGAAAGTATACACTGTCGAGCAGAGACCAACATGCCAATCTGGATGAATTTCTAAACACATCCAAATATCAGGTCAATAGTTTTGAGTGTACCTTTTTCAACTTACTAAAATAAAAACATTTCAAATTTGAATGTAATTCTTTAAGTCATGGTATTGGCTACTATCCATGTTGTTAATTTTTGGACAGTTTTGCCCATGAAGTACCATATAGTTTTGGGTCACTAAATGGACAATGGTGTTTATGAAGTTGACATTTATATCCAATTAATGGACATTTGTGTTAACATTTGTGACCACTAAATGGACATTTCTGTCAGGACCACTATCGTCAAAGATGATTGACAATTAGCATACAGTTTGGATTGGCGGTATATGTATCCTTTGCTGCCTTGATACCCAACAATCCTGTGTGTTCTATTCTGTGATGGTTTAACAAATAATTCATTGAATATTTGCTTCGTTATCACCAGCCCGTTCAATTTGTTGTAGATCATTGAACCTTGGAGCTGCGCCGCAGCAGAAATGATTCCCTAGGTTAAAGGGGATATAACACACAGTTTTGGCCAATCTCATGTCATCTTGAATACCTATAATTGTAGTATTGCATCATTCACATCTCCGAAGAGTCTTCAGTTTTATCAGATTTATAAAAGAAAGATACAGCTTGCGATTCTCTCCGAAAACAGCCAAGCTCCTGGAGGCGAGCCGTGGCGGAGCTGAAGAGTCGCGAGCCCTTACACTTACTAACAATCACAGACATCTGATGCAGTTTTACAGCAGTTCTTATATGACCGGGATCTTTGATCGCTGGGGCTTCTCCATCTTCCAGACACTGTGCAAATCCAGTGTCAGAATGTACCTTGTTATAAAACATTTGTCACCGAAATGACGGGAAC